CGGATGGTGCAATTGCAGGCTTCTGGAATTTTAGAAAGGCCAGTTCTCTCTATACTTATGGAAAGTAGAAACCGTAGCATGTGATGTAAGGGATTGGAGGCACCTGGAACTTTAAAGAGTCAGTTTCTATATTGACTTTAAAGAGTCAGTTTCTATCTTGACTTTGTGAAAATAGAAACTATAGCATGTGATGTAGGGGAAAGGAAGATTTGTTGGTATCTTTGTTTAGGAGCAGGCCCTTGGAATTCTCAAAATGTTGTTTCTGTCTAGACTTATGGAAAGTAGAAAGATTTTGTTGTTTATGGAGGAGGTGTCTTTGTTTAGGAATTTCAGGCTTCTGAAATTTTAAAAGGCAGTTTCACTCTATAGTTAGGGAAAGTAGAAACTGTAGCATGTTGTGTAGAGGAAGGGAAGATTTGTTGTTTTAGTCGAGGAGGTGTCTTTGTTTAGGGATTGCAGTCCCCTGGAATTTTAAAAAGATAGTTTTTCTCTGGACTTATGGGAAGTACAAACTGTAGGATGTTATGTAAGGAGATGGAAGATTTGTTGTTCTAGGGGAGGAGGTGTCTTTGTTAGGAATTGCAGGCCCCTGGAATTTTAAAAAGGTAGTTTCTCTTTAGACTTATGGAAAGCAGAAACTATAGCACATGATGTAGGGGAAAGGAAGATTTGTTATTTCAGGGGAGGACGATGTTTCTTTGTTTAGGAAAGAGTTGTTGAAAGTCCTCTTTGGTAGGTCGACTCAAACCAGTAGACATGCCTCTGTTCAAATTCTAAGCATGGCTGTTAGGTGGGTCGCCATTACTTTGGTTGGGTGTTTGATTTGTTTTTGTTAGGCTAGTGTTTAAATTAAAGAGAACACCCAATGCACAAATCACAAGGTTTCTTTGGGGCAGGAAATTTTCTTTTTAAGCGTTGTATCCCTGTTTATCCAGGCAATTGTTTTATTCCACGAGCTATTTTGGACGTTATTATGCTAACTTTATGGAGAAGGTGGTCTGTTGTAGATGGAAGGGTGTCTTATTTGCTCGAATTTGTACATATATGGACAAGAAAAACATTTGTCTCACACTGAAGTTGGCAATTAAAGCATAAATTTCTCATCCAGGTAGAGGCGTACGGTTGTATGCTGTCAGGAATGGACCTTGGTTGTCTCATACTGGAGCAATGGTAGGAGAACTTGTATTGAACCATGGTGAAAAGGAGGCAAGGGAAGGATTGTAAGGGGATTGGCACAAAGCAAGTGGGGAAAATAGAGAAGTTGGTGAAATTTTGGTTGGATGGTGGATAATTTGGAGTATTTAATTATTAAAGAAAAAGGATAGCTAGGAGGGTTTGGCACGCGATGGTGTGAGAAGAAAAAATATGTGCTGCTAGGCAGTGTGAGTTGGTGGAAACTTAGGAAATGAGTGTGAGTGGAATAGTGCTAGGGAAGAACAAAGCATAACCTTTTGGTGTATGTGTGAAAATGTGCTAGGGAAGAACAAACCATGGGAGAAACGTGGCTGAATATGGGGGTGGAGGAGTGGAGAGTGGGTGGCCAAACTAGAGAAAGGTGAGAGAGATGGAGGAGGAAGAGATATAGGGGAAAACACAAGAGCAGAGTTGGGTTTTATAGTAGAGTCAGTTGTGGTATATTATGAAGTAGTTTTACAGGGCTGACTTTCATGTACAATCCCAGTGTGCTTTTTCCTGTTGGAGCTTTGGAAGATTCGAACCTTTTGCACGTCCATGTGTATTTTGGGCTCTCTACACATTTTAAAACACTAATGCATGCCATAACTTTCTAATTCCAGTTACCAAAAACAAGAATCGAATAGCAACACCCACTCCTCCACCCCCGCCCCGCCCAAAAGAAAAAAAAAATCTGAAAAAATAAACTAGTAAGATTTTTTCTACAATTTTTTCCTTTATGTTTGTGGGTTTCTTTTGGATCTTAAATCCATTGCACTTAAACTATAGCGAAGAATTTACAGAAACATCGACTGGATATGGAGAATGGGCCACTAGTGAACTTGATATTATTTTTGGGGATTTATTTTTTGTTCTTTACTTTTTTAGCGTTTTTCAACTTATAATAGTTTATCTCCAGTTTGCACTGAGTCCTAGATAGTTGACGTGTTTGAGTTTGTGTTTCTTGTGGCTGATTTCTCATCCCTACTTTGTTGATGGTGCCAGTTTATTATTTTGTATGCTTTAGTACAGGCAGTGATGTAGTCGACATTCTTGCTCAAGCATCTTTTAGTGTTATATCAGCGCACCTTTGAAAGCCTATTCAGAACTTGTGGGGAAGAGATTTGGGAAGTTGATCCCCCAAACCAACCAAAAGGCAAATTTCTTTCACCTTAGGCAGCATTTTTCTTCTTAAGACTACCTTGTCGAGCATTCCTGAATACCTATGTTCCTGATGGAAATGTTGGAGAGGTTACCACTGGAGACTGGATTTTCTTAGGAGTGAAGGGAGGAGAAAGGCCTCAGATTTGGTTAGATTGGAGTAGATGGGTAGATTGCAGGAAGATGAAGGATTAGGTATCAAGGGGCTCAGGACTCTAGGAATGCATTGTTTAGTGCATGGAACGGATTGAGTTGGGCGAAGATGTGGAATCCTAGCAAAAGAGTCTCCCGAGAGATAGAAATGAGGTATCTGTCTAGCTTGGATAGAGTAGGTGTGGAGGAGTGGTTAGGCCACATGAATTACGCACCTGGAAGGGGCAGATCAAGGAGTTGGTTTCTAGCTACGAAATCTGAGAAGTCAAGCAAGGCTTGGGAAATACTGGAAGTGGAGTTGCACTCAAATGACCACCTGGTGACATTGAAGACACAACTGATGCACCAAGTGGAGTGAGGCAGGGGGACCAGGAGTCAAGCTCGTTTCATAAATCCACTCTACGGAAGTCAAGATTTGGGCCATAAACGGCGGTGACCTTCCAAGGAAGGTCTAAAGGGTAGTTTCCTTAGATTATTGCTCTTCGTTACTATTGTCCCAGGAATCCAATGGAGTTGCTGATCTTTTGGCCGCAAGAGGGTCTCAAGATGGACTGAAATCTCGGATTCTCTTACATTGTTATGATATCATTTCTGCAATGGTTATCCTCCAATATAGCGAAATATCTGCAGTGGTTATGAGTTTGCACAAGGTAACATGAGGTTTCAGAGGGATGAATTTTTCTGAAACGTAAGTTTCAGAAGGGTGAATTGCAGGCTTGGTTCACGTGGCATGATCCTATGACCACTATGGTTTTCCATAGAGAGAGTCTAAGAGAAAGGGAATCCAAGTTTCTTTTTTTTTTCCTTGTTTTTTTTTTTTTGGGAGGAAGGGTGGGGGAGTTTGGTTGTTGTTTGTGGCTGTGCTACTGCTCCATGGCTGTTCTTATCATCAGATTCTCAGGACTTAAGGGTACATGACATCTTCCACATGGTCAAAGAGCAAGTTTTCTGTTCCTACGACTGAGTTCTTCAACCTCAATCTCCTGCATCCAAAGCCAACTAGATTAGGAGCTGACATAATTTGTCTATTTGTTCGAGAAGAGGCTTTATGGGGCCTTTTCTTCTTCTGGTTTTGGACTTCTTATTCATAGTTGAAAGGAACAATATTTGAGCCTCTTCTCAAAAGAAAAGAAAATACAAGACTTCTGGTCAAACCCCTTTTTGGGGTCTGATGCTCCTACGCAGGTGTTGGCTCTTCCAAGCACTGTCCAAGAGTAGCATCTTGTTGTTTTTTCATAGAGAATATTTCTTATCAAGAAAGACTACCATTTATTGCATGTAGAATAATATATTGTGGTGGGTTTGATGTGCTTGAGGGACAAGCAATCTTCAGGGTCGAAACCCTTGACTGACCTCTCTCATGGCAACTGTGAAGATCTATCAAATATGCAGGATCATTGCTACATTTATTCATACAGTTTGCTTTTCATGTTGCAATGATCTATAGTTTCCATCCTAGTTCTAACTATAATAAAATCAGTGTAAGCTCTATAATTTCAAGTAAGATTCATGACTCGCTGGTTTGGATATCTCACCTATCAAAAAATAGAATAACAAAACTAGAGTAAAATAGGGAAAGATAGCATGTCATTTGACTGTAATAATTCCATTTTGTGGCTTTTGTCGTATCTTTTACTTAGCATATTTTTTCTAGGAATCATTGGATTATGTCATGGCCAGCTTAACCATACTTGTTGCACAAAAATAGGAATCCGATGGTCATCTGAAATGGTCGTTTGTATTTTACTATTTTGTTTGGATCCATTTGATTTGATCCTTTCATGTGTAGGAAGAATTGAAAAATAACACAATCTCAATGGTGGAGCAGAGCAAAGTTCTGAACACTCCTGGGGCTGAAAGACAGACTAAACGCGAACTATTCGATGCTCTTCGCCGTGAGCTAGAGTAAGCACTGGTTCTCATGACTTGTTCAAAAGATTGGATGCTTATGATGTATTGCTTAATATGGAGTAACTTTTTATCTCTTGATGGCCTTTTTTATGCATATATTTTACGCCGTTCAGAAGTGAGTGGATTTTTTGTGGTGCATGTCTTGAACACATTCTAAAATCCAGTGTACATTGGTCATGTATAAAATTATCATGGAATTTAGTTGATGCACAGAGAAATGTCACATATATTTGAAAATTTGTGCTACCTAGAATGCTTTGTGTATGTCACAGTCGAGACAAATTCTCGAGACAAATTCTATGTGCTAGCATTCATGGTTCTTATGTAGCACAACTGAGACATAGTACAAGAGGCTTAATCCATAAACGTATGTACATATGAGAGAGAGTATCACCAATGTTCTCCATTCATAGTGTCCTTCCAATTTGAATTGCATGCGGCATTCATTATCGCTGTGAGCGTTTCAGAGCGCCAGTGCTTGAGAAGGCATCAAAGTCTGCTTGGGAGTTGATTTTGGACATGGACGGACTGGGGAAGGAGATCAATGACACAGTCGAAAGGGTCTATTGTCGTCATAGTGGCCTGGATTTTCCTTTATCTTCTCAGAATCGGGATGCCCCGAAAGATGAAGAAACACCCAGTTCCCCATCATTTGATAACCCAAAAGAAAAAGAGAACCCAAATTCATCCACTAAGAAGAGGAGCTTCAGCACGATGAGTGCAGAAGGTGATGATGCTACGGTCGCCTCTGGCAGTGCGACAACTGCCCCTGCCTCTGCCCCTGCCCCTGCCCCTGCCCCTGCCCCTGCCCTTGCCCTTGAAGTCACTGACACTGGCCCTTCTTCCATACCCAAAATTTGAGCTTATTGTATAACAATGTTTAAAAGTTTGCGAGTGTTTGAAGCTGTGGATGGCTTCCTCTTCTCTCAATAACTGAAGTGGACTGTGCAAATTTATTTAGATCATATTTTTTTCCCTCATAAATTTGGGGTAATATGCCATTAGTGGTTGCGTGTATCCGTAAATTTGGTTCATCAAGAAATTAAACATGATATATTCAAAGGCTTTACAGATATTATATTGCTATAAAGCAGTCTTAATATATAAGAAATTGAAAATAAATACGTGAAATCTCAAATTGAAAAGTAAGGCAAACTTCCTGACTATAAGACAATCATATTCTACAGGTTATCTTAAAATATTGAAGGATTTTAAAATCAAGTTATTTGGGATGGGAGTCATTGGAAATTTGAGTAGTCCTTTGAAAGTATACTTTTTTTTTCTAATGAACTTCGAACAATGTTAGTTTTTTTTAAGCTTCATTAATTTAGGTTCTGACTATGATCGCATAGTTTACTTAGAATGTTTATTTTATGATTGTCATGTTATTTTTCAACAGTTCACGTAATTTGAAATACATTTAAATACTAATTTCCAATAAAATATCAACCCCTAACATATATTTATATTACTTAAGATATAGCATTTGCAATTTATTGCCAATAATTTCTTTATAGAAAAGAAACGCTCATTAATATATCCATAAACCCCTCCAATTATATCCTGTTAACCCTAGATGTAGCAAGTTTGGAACCATGATTTTTTCTGCTCAACCCAAACAATGAATGGGAATATGAAAAATTGCTCTCTGGATTGCGCTCCACCCGTATATACATTTGTGCTCCCTCACTAGAATTCCCCATCTCCATTGATGCTGATTATAAATCTTCTGACAAAAAGCAGTCAATCCTCAAAACTGTCTTGGTGAAGGCAATATAACTGGAATATAAGCTACAATTGTGCTCTAATATTTTCTATTATATAATTTATGAAAAGGACGAATGCTTATTATTTTATAGTGGTTGAATAATAAAATCTACATTTTAATAATTTAGATACAATCTAGCAAACGCATTACCTTAAAAGGTTCCTTCATTATTATTTTATAGTATGATAGTCCATCGGTTCCAAATTTTGCTTCATAGATTCTATTGACATTTCGATATAGCAACATATAAATGAACATCAGTTCTAAAGGGTAACAATAACATTAAAAAAAAAGATAAAAAAAAAGGCGACAAAGCAGTATGCTGCTGTCGCAACCATTTATCATATGGCATATCAACCCTAACCCTGTTTGTGCATACAAAGGCTCCTCTATTGGGCCTTTATGATGCTCAATGTAGAATTCAACAATGAAGTTTTCATACCATCTTATTTCATGCACAAAGATGCACACAAAATAGTGACGTTTTCATACCATCTTGTTTAATGTACAAGATGCACACAAAACCTGTGTATTCTTTTTTAGCTAGTCAGGAAAAAGCTGAACATAATAAGAGCCCAACCATTCGGAATACCCCATAAGAACTATCAAAATGGCCATTCATCTGAAAATCCTCATTTTTGGAGCAAGGCGAAATTTAATCCCAAGTCCATCCCAAAAATCAACATAAAGCTAGATCCTCATCTCCTTTTAAGAAACTCAAGAGGAAGCCATTTTAAAAAAAAGATTGTATATTATGAGACCATTTATTTTTTTTATGTAAGTCGTTCAGTTTTAGACAATGGATGTGAAATCCCATTGATGGAGGCATGTCACAATATTCGAGAAATTTATTTTAGACTATGCTCAAATAATCACACGTCCTCAACAACCTAATTTTAAATCTAATAGTCAATTGTGATTGTGACATCCTTATCTCAAAAGTAAATGGTCTCATTGTATAAATTTCTTTTAAATAAAAAATTCGTTAGTATAAAATCCTTGGTTTCCACCAGCTACATTCCTGGAAAAAATACCATGCCAACATTAACAAACAAAAATCAAGGGAAGGTAAGAATCAACCCAATCTCTGAAATGCCCCACAAGCCCAAACTAATTTTATAAGCAAAAACTGTACTTAGGGCATGTAACAGAAGAGGGCCCACATTTGAAATATATAATCAATTTAGAGCTCTTTTTATACATGGGGGTGGTTCATTATACATCAATGAATCGGATATCGAATGTGTTCGGGTGTATTTGCCACACATTCAGGGATGCATACTCCTCCAAACACTCCTTCAACTGTGCTTCACTATATCCCTGGCGAATAATAGAAAACCCTACAATAAGTAATAGAAAACCTACTAGAAGTGATGGCATGTATCATAATTTAAGCAAGAATGGAGAGAGTAAATGTGAAATGTATCATAATCAGAGTAGCAATGTGTTAACAAAGAAACAAGACGAAGGCATAAAACCAGAACTATAATCCTCAGAAGGGAAGTTCACTGTAGTCCATTGACGAGCAGATCCACTGGGATATTATTCTGGTGTGTATTACCTCTCTACCATCTATTTCAGTAAAAACTATTCTAATATTTTCAATCTTAAAATGATAGGAACAAAAATCACTGTATAACAATAGCGACTATCAACATCATGACACCATAAGTCAGAAGCAAATGATATTTTCAGAAAATGAGGAAATTCCAAGATGTAATCAGAAGTTTTGTTCGCAATCACAATTTGCCAGTTGCCACTTTAAAAGCTGTGCACTTACACACACATGCAGAGAGAGATACCTTGCGAGAGATCCAGTTAAGGGCCTGAGCATATCTGATGTCAGTGCTGCTCATTCTGGCTGCCTCATCCCTCAAAATTGAGTAAATGTCAGAGATGGCATCAAGGCCTGCCTGCCTCTTTTCATCTGAGTAAAGTGAAAACTTCGACATTTGCATCAGCCTCAATGCTTCATCCACATCACTCTGACCCACAGTGTCTGCAAACCTGAGCCTTGCCAATGCCTAAAGATAGAATGCAACAATTTTTCAAGGAATTTTTTATAACCATAATTAATAATTCTCAAAAGCACACTTTCTTCTATCTTCCAAATTAGCAAATATTAGGAAGATTTAAAAGTACATATAAACCACCAAAAAAAAAAAACTCACCATGGATATCCGTAGAATGCTGAGAAGAGTTCGCACAGTTGTGTAGGAGTGAGGGGCATCTGCCTTAGCTTCCTCTTGGCGAATCCCAGAATAAGCAGTAGCTATGTACTCAGTCAGCTCTTTCGGAACAGATGGCGATGACTTCCTTGCAGCTGATATATAAGCTCTTTGATGGGATTATACAAACGAAAAGAATAAGCAAGTCAGAGAAATTCAGAACAAAACAGCTTAGCAAAGCAGTCCCCTCTCTCTCTCTCTCTCTCATGTGCACATACACATACATTATTCCTTCCAAATTGAGAAGTAATTTTCACAAGAATGCCCTCAGAAGTAGAGAATGCCACTACAATCTTGTAATTTTTTGCGTACCATGTGCCTTTCTTGATCTTTTCGGCTTATTTCTCTTTTATTGACATTAACTACTTATGTAACACACCAAACAAAAGTACTGTCTCTTGAGTGCACAAATTTTCTAATGCACAATTTGAGTGGCATACCGGAGAATGGTGGGTTCAAGAGGCGCGAAACCTAGAGGTGGAGGTTCAAGCTTCTGATGCACATGGATGACATGCCTTGCCATTTCTAGATCGCTATCCATGTCTGCACGGTCAAGTATAAGCCAAAGCAGATCAAATCTAGAGAGCAATGCTGGAGGGAGATTGATATTCTCAGCAGGTGTCCTCCTCGGATTGTACCGACCCCTAAAACAAAAGAAAAAAGTCACATGTCAACTAGATGAGAACTGAGTTATTTCTTTGTGTTTAAATTTGGAGAATTAATGCTATTGCCCATCCCCAACGTGTCAGATGACCTCCAAATTTCTCAATTGGTAATAATATAAACTCCATGTTCAGCCAAATAGAAGTTATAAACCTAAAATGGCTGCCACATTTTTTCTGGAAACTGGCCATTACTTGGGTCCTAATTTTTACATATTTACCTGAAAAAATGAACCTCCCAAAACGAACCAAGAAAAAACAGTCATAGATACTACATGAGTTTTCACAAAAGAAATAAATGTACAACAAAGTTTTTCTTTAGCTTAATAAGCTGATCATTAATGAACTTTTTCCTTGTAAGTAGAATATCAAGATTAAAGCACTATGCAGGATCCAAGTAAAAATCCCCATGACCAGCCAAGTCCCACTGATTCCCACAATTTGTTTTGTTCTTTTGTTCTTTCTTTCTTTCTTCTTTTGTTTTTTTTTTTCTTTTTTTGGGAAGACTCAGCTGAGTCCGACTTGGACGGGGGCAAGCCTGACCCACTGACTAGACCTTGTCCTTCTTTGTTCCAAGCCTAAGTCATCATCATCATTATCCAAGCCTTTTCCCCACTATTTGGAGTCGGCTACACAACCTGCTCCGCCAATCAGGATTCATGATAGGAATGTGGCAAAATCTTTCTGCTACCTAATACAACCCTCCTCCTTTCTCATCCGGGCAGGATCAAGCATTGCATATAATACAAAAAATCTCAGAGAAATCACTTATATATAATATTTATAGTTAAATATCACCAAAAAAGCAGTGAATAGATATTTCTGCAAAATTATAAAATGTAGAATTTGACTAATTAATTTAGGGGATTTGACTGGTAAAGTTCCTCACTGTAATCTTTGTGGTAGTGAACAAATACGAAATTTAAAGAATAGTTTTTGATGGAATAACGGAAAATTTGTAAACCAAGATAAGGAAATCAATCAAAACGTGTATAAGTATGCAAATACTGGCATTCAAGTTATCACATAGAGGAACTTTCCCATTCAACTATTTGACAGACAAATGCTGCTGAAAATGACCATTCCTCTGGCCCATATTATTGCACCTTAAACCCAAACAACGTCAAGAAAAAAAAAATTCAATTAAACCATTGAAACCTAGCTAATTTTAATCCCCTATTACCAGACCAAAACCAATCCTTATCAAATAGAGTTAAAGGCTCAAACCCTAGATTAAATGATTATTAAACCCCAAAAATTAACTATAAAACCAGAATAGACCCTACGGACATAAACCACCCATATCAAACCAAGCCATATTGAACCACAAAAATATCAAATCACATCTTTTACAAAATATCAATAAAACTACAATCTCACCAGATCAGAACCTTGGACCATTAAGGGCAGCAAACTGGGGCAAGGAGAATTTTCCAGTTCCTCTCAATATTTTGAGGAACATGGTTCCTCTTATATCTTAAAAAAACACCATCATCCACCCGCTCTGATTGAATAGTTGAGGTGTGTGTGTATATGTGTGTGTGACAGAGAGAGAAAGCGAGGTTATTGTGATGCAGGCTTCTTCTGTGGTTTTCTCTAACGGTAATTAATGTTCCAGGCCTGAGTCCAAGGTCAAAAACATTGTACTTGAGCATTTCTTGCAGAAAAGTAGACACATCTCTATTTGGAAAACTCAGATAAACTGTTTTATTGTTTCCATTAAGATTCCACAGGTCCAGCCAAAATTAAAATATTAAAACAATTACATTTTTTAATAGAATTTACATTATTTTGTTTTTCATAACAATTAAGACTGGCTTAAGGTTCTAAACCATTCAATGAAGGAAAGATCTGAAAATCTTAATTGGGTAGAATCCCAAACCCCAGAAGTAGTTCAATCTTTGAGTGCATTCTTCCTTTATCGTTGTAAAATAAACACTATTCACAGGGACCTTAAACTTGGATCCCACTCCTGTTTCCAAATTTAATCCTCCCGTGGTGATCATTCATGGAAGTTTTTCTATTCACCCATTCCTATTACTAACACTGCAAACTGGACAATTTTGGAGTATAAGTACACAATTAAGGTTGAGTATCGTAAGATGAGCGCATAAAGAATCGTCTATTCCGTGGAGATTGGCTATGATTTTTTGTGAGATCTTCGACATTTGTGAAAATAATAAAGTGACTTCTATGCACATTCTTAGGGGAGCTAACCACAAGGCTGGTACCCTTGCTAATGAAGGGGTTCTTCAATAATCACTTTATGGATACAATTTCAATGTTGGAATCCTGAGATGTCATCTTAACATCTGTTGGCCTTTGTTTTTCATTTTTTATTCTTTGTGGTTATATTTTAGTAATGAATTTTTTTTCTTAATTACCAAAAATAAAGGTTGAGTTGTGTCTGAGGGTAAACATGAATGTCCACGATGACAAGTTTATTTCATCTTCCTTGATAAGTCCACTTGCCCAGTTCACTAGCAACTTCAGTCTCGCCTCTATGTACTACGTAAAATCTCAAATGTTTTCAATCCTATACTCTATTGAGGCTCATTCAAGTAGTTTGGCATATTTGGATAGGGTTGGCCTCTAAAGCTCTAATCCCAGTACTTAAAAGTGCAATGAATCTACCCACAATTACAGGTTCATTTTGCATTTCTCATCCTCATCGGATGATGAGGATCTCACACATTCTGCTAAGGCAGCTATTTAGAAGATTTATAGCTAAGCATACTGCTAGGAAAATAACCAGGTCAATAGAAACTCCATAGCTAAGGTTAAGAGTTTCTCAAACATGGCCCTATAGACTCATCTCCAAATTCTTTGAACCTCAATTTCTTTCCATAAATTGTATATTTTTGTTTGCTTGATATCTAGCATATAATTAAGGCCGAAGAGTAAGAACATGCAGATTTGTAAGCCTCAATCGTATAATGATTCAACTCATAAAGTCATTATACTTTAAGATTGTTCTTAGTCAACTAAGTTCTTTTTAACACTAACAAATAAGTTTTTTTTAAAGCATAAATATTCATGTCTTTGATATTTCATTTAATTTTCTGATGCTACATATATTTTAGATCTTTTAAGCCATGCAAGTGCCTGTAACAAGTAGCATACTGAAAAATAACCAACAATAAACCTAACAGATAAAACATAAATTTTAATTCCAAACTTAGCAATGGTTTAACTAGACAAATATCTGCTTCATTGCCAAAGGAACAAAATAGTTTAGAACATTTTCATGTCCTCAGCATTAACAAACCAATGAGAATAAAGGCATGGAATTACAATTTGTTTTAATAGGGAAAGAAAATGAAAGCTTGTGATATGCTCATACCAGGCTGGGTTTGCAGCAGCAAGAACAGAGGTCCGAGCATTCAAAGATGTAGTGATCCCAGCCTTAGCAATACTGACAGTTTGCTGCTCCATAACTTCATGAATTGCAGTCCTGTCAGCTTCCTCCATCTTGTCAAACTCATCAATGGCGCAAATCCCCATGTCTGCAAGTACCTGCAAGATGTAATTTCACCACCAAAATTCACTTTCATTGTTTTCACCTTGCTCTTACCCCTTGCTCCTATGCGTCTTATTTTCTTTTCTTTTCTTCCATAGGGAGTGTGCACTACTGAGCATGCAGGCACACGTGCTGTACTCGCATATGCCTATATCTAAATTGTGTGTATGTGAGTGGTTGGGCGGGTGAGCTTGGAGTAGATAGTAGGATAAAATGCACAAAAAACAGACCACCTTAAATCAAAACCGATATAACCTTTCTGAATAGGCAAAATTCTGGTGCAGTAGAAGACATTTGTCGGCAGACTGCAAACTCTCAAATCCTTAAAGTGAGGCATAAGTAAATGAGAAACATTTTTGTAGTGCATTAAAGCATCATGAAACATTTGCTTAGCATGTGCTCCAGATGAAGGAGAAATTTATAGATCCATGAATATGAGATTTCCAAGAAATTTTGGTGGTACAAGCCAAAAATTGCAAAAAAAAATTATATGAAATATTATATATATATGTTTATATTATTATATTTTACATAATATATAAATATCTTATATTATATTATATATAAAAATTATTTATTATATTATATATAAGGCCTGTCAAACATTAACTCAAGGAGCAAACAACTACATCTTTCATGCATTGGAAAATGGAGAAACATTCACAAACGCCCAGATAATTATTTTAAAACAGTACGGATTACAAGGAACATTGCCGTCTTTTTCATATGATCTCCCCCAAAACTCAAGCACTCAAAGAAATTGGACAGCATGAAAAAGCTTAAAATACCTGGGGATCCCTTTTGAGGGAAAAGGGAAAAGGAAACAAACAGGTTAGTCTAGTCATTAACACACAGCTCAACTTTGTGATCAAGAAATTCCAGAAAATATGGTGGCAAGAAAAATAACAAATTTAAATTTATACACATCCTCATCATCATCATCAGAGCTTTTCCCAACATATTCAAACACAACCTCGTTGCTTATATTCTTTCATAAAGAGCATGTATGCATGTAGAACATTACAATGCTTCCCTAGTGGCTGGAAGCTGGAAAAGACATGTTCACAATAGCAAGTACAAAAAAATACAAAAATAAACAAACATGACACAAGGCTTACAAATACATGTAATAGCCTGTACTATGAAGTTTTCAAAATGTGCAAGAAATTCGACTGTTATGCAAGATACATGTGCACATAAATCAAAATAACGGAAAAAGACAGGAAAAATAAAATGAATGGGAAAAATCTTACTAAAGCTCCCCCTTCAAGGACCATCTCATTTGTCACTGGATCCCTTTGAACAGCAGCAGTTAAGCCAACACCACTACTTCCTTTGCCTGTGGTGTAAACTCCCCTAGGTGCTACATTGATTATGTGCTTCAAGAGTTGACTCTTTGCAACCCCAGGATCCCCCATTAAACATATGTGCAGATCCCCTCTAATCTACAAAACCCAAAACAGGCATTTTATATTACCACAAAATATATGACTAATTATAATGAAAAAAAGGCAGTAGTTACAAATGATAAGAAAATCAAAACCTTGTACAAAACACATAAAATGCATGATTTAAGTTTGTGAGGCAGGCATATCTCTCTACAAAAACTTGAAGTTGCACGTGAAGATCAGAAAATTGCCATGTAATCTCAACCTTTCCTCTTTTCCATAAAATGGGGGAATTGGCCCTACCACTGTTTGAAAAAACAAAAGTAGCCCCTATAATAAAATATATATTAAAATCCCTATATGCATCACTCCAGGTATAAACTACAATGATCAAACATTTTTAGTAGCCTCCAACAAGACATGCAATTTCTACAGTGAAAACCCACAAAAACTTCTACAGGGTGAGGAAAAAAGGAGTCCATATTGGAAAAAAGCTTCATGGGGTACCTTCTTTATCCAAAAAAAAAAATAAGGGCAACTCTGATAGTTTGGCAGACAAGTGACATTGCCTTTAAATCATGCATATTTTAAGTTTTTTTGTGAACAAAAGAAAACAAGCCACATTAGCTATTAATGCCCACCTTCATGCCATCTTATTGCCTTTAAATCATGCATATTTTAAGTTTTTTTGTGAACAAAAGAAAACAAGCCACATAAGCTATTAATGCCTACCTTCATCCCATCTTTCAGTTTCTTAGTGGGAGCACCCACGAGAAGTAGTAGCAACGCCTTCTTCACATCTTCATGACCAAATATCTCAGGGGCAAGAGATCGTGCAAGTTTGCTGTAAATATCTCCATCTTCAGCAAGACGGTCAATCTGCTCCTGCTCATCGCCTCTGAGAACATGACTGCAAGAGTGAAGGAGAAGTTTAGTCATGCTTCCTGAGTTTCATAGTTCCACTAGCATGAATAGTTCACCCTTTTGAATTATTATCAACTTTTCAAGAAAATGAACATTTTATATCAATTGAAGAAACAAATTTCCATTCATCTTTCAAGCAAGTAGCAAATAAAATAAAAAATAGAATATCTTAACCCCAGATTAAAGAACCTAAGAACCAAAAAAGAAAATCTGCCTTTACTCTTCAAATATAAAAAATAAACAAATAAAATCTCATCGCAAGTTTCAATGTCTTATATCTGTGTCTACTTCACAATATTACTTCTGATCAATGCCTTTTTCCATTGTTTCTCATTAAATGTCGTTGTTCTTCACATTTTCAGGTATTTGCCTTAACTTTCCCTTTTTTCATTATGAATTTTAAATGTTGTGGTTTTGATAGTGCCACATCATGGATACACCAGAAACTGCTTTGTTCCAAATTATCTCTGTAATATACAGTTATGAAAATATCACTGTAAATCTATTGTTTAGGAAATAACTTACTCTTCATATCTTTTCTTAAAATGAGTGATTGACATGGCCTCTAGATATGTATCAGCAACTAGGCCAGCCCGCATTGCTCTATACCCAACATACGGAATAGGAAGAAAAATCCCAGAAATCTCAACCAGGTCACCAGGACCAACCTGATCAAGTTTATAAAAGAAAAAATGTAGTTTATCACTTCAAAAGAAACAAACTGGGAAAACTGAATTGCAAGCTATAAGAAAATGAAACTAAATTAAGGAGAATGGAACACCTTTCTAGTAAGATCTCCTCTAAGATGAACAGTCATTGTCCGTGGTATGTGGCCTTTTGGAACATGCTCTGATAATTCCTGAATCTTTGCCTGCAAATGTGAGTTAGTAAATATCTGAAAACTCAAAATTAAGAATAACAAAATGCACAAATATCTGCAACTCTCTCTCTCTCTCTCTCTCTCTCTTTCTCTCTCTCTCTCTCACACACACACACACACACACACTCACACTCACACTCACACTCACACTCACGCACACACCCCACTATGCACAGTATTACCTCCTGAAATTTCAGGAACTTTGAGGCTCTGAGTTGTAGGATAAGATTCCCCTTTGAGTTGTTTGTTTTGCAACGCACAGATGGGCACTCAAACAGAGGCATGAACACCCGTGCTGTTACTTCCTGATCCACCCCAAAAAACTATCAATAGCTTAGAAAATAAGGGAAAAAATACATTACATGAGTATATGATGTTCAAATCTATGTAGGCCACTCGTTCAAATCAAAGTAATACTGGTTGGTCTGCATATTTATATAGTCCTGATACACTCCAACTGAACATTCAGATTGTTTTTTATATAGTCCTGATACACTCCAGCTGAACATTCAGACTGTTTTAATAACATCATCGTCATCGTCAAAGCCTTTCCCAACTAATTGAGATCGGCTACGCGAATCCTGGTCCAGTTCAGGATTCATGATATGTTTTGGCGAAACTTTACATTGGCTGTCTACCTAACACAACCCACCTCCTTTACCCAGGCTTGGGACGGGCCAAGGGAAAATTTAAGTTCCTCACCATTCTTAGACCAATTTAGTCTGTTTTTCTATACATATATAATAAAAAAAGTAAAAAAAACAATAACTAGGGCTATGGGTACCTGGTAAATCTCGAACCCACACTCCTCGCATGTGTACACACCAACCTGCATCAATGGTTTGACATCCATACATCGAGTGATGATGCCAGAAATTTTCACAAGTTGACCAATATACGAAGCTTTTACTTCTCGTATACTAAATGTCCTCTCCTTTGAGAATGCCTTTATATGCACAGCACTGTTTCAGATATTTAAGCCTGTTAATCATTATCAGTTTTTTGTTTGTTTAATTTTTTATAAGCATATGTGCAGTTCCATTGGAAAGGCATGACATTGAGGGACAAACAACCTATTGCATATCATAGAGCAGTAATGATGCTGCATGCGTATTAAAATAAACAATAAAAAAAAACATGTCAATATTAATGAGCTAAAAAACAGAATTAGCAGTTTCCAAAACATGAAAATAGAGAGACAGAATTCTGAATTTATCCAAATGAGACTACAATACAAGTCACAATAAGCTGACACAGCAATGTACAAGTTACAATTATGGGACATGGCAAGCTTCTAAAAATCAATTTTTCTTGATGAATGCATTAGGAGAAATGCCATATATGAAAGCTCATTTACATTCCACAAAAAAAATCAACTTGAGAAGCCAAGTTTTTTTCCTCAAGTGGTAGTTTTCGCCAAAAAAACGGCAGGATAACATGAACAATCAAATCATTTACAAAACATCAATGAAAAGAAACAAGATAGAAACTGAAAAAACAAAGCAGTGAGTGACATAATAAAACCAATCCAGAAATCGGACATTCTATCAGATGTCCGTTGTTCAGAGGCAGATATTTTGAAATAATTTTCTTTATTTTTTTCAATGCACTTACAAGAACCGCTTGATTTCTGGAGGCATTTTCTGAAGCGGATCAGCTGTATCACTGTTCTCTGTATTTTCCTCTGATCTTTGAGTCATTAGTATGTCATGGTCATCATCCCTCGGAAAGACCTCTGTTGGCTCTGGCAAAAGGTCATCAATTGCTTCTGCAAAAAGACTTACGTAACGCCTTGTATTCATACGAACCCGTTCAAGAAATCCGTCATCCAAATCTTCATTCTGCTAAAAATGAAAGGACAATGAACCCCACTTCCTCCATGTCAAATATGTAAAAATAAGAAAATTTTGACAAGGGCAATGATGATGGGTTCATGTCACAACTTACACTAAGAAGATCATCAAGGTCGATATCAACTGAACAGTATTTTCGGTTGGCAACATCTTGCTGCGAATCATAATATACAGTCAATTAAATTCTTCCCTTGACAGCATGAAAAAGGTTTTGTGCTTTTCAACACAAATTGATTTTTTTCAATAATAAAATGCCATCTGGTGTAGGGGGTCAAAAACTAGTAGAATTCAACATATCTAAGCCAACCAATAATATAATTATGACTTTAAGAAGTGGGTGACATTGTGTTGACAGTTACAACTACAATTCAGATGCATTTGACATCAAGAAAGAGAAAAATGGGGTTAGCGTGTACATTATCTCATTTTAACTGTCATAAAAAAACCAAACAACAAAAGACTATGGATTAAGAGATGAAAGTAAGTGCAAACTTTAAGAAGTGGATGACATTTTGTTGACAGTTACAACTACAATGCAGATGCATTTGACATCAAGAAAGAGAAAAATGGGGTTAGCCTGTACATTATCTCATTTTTAACTGTCATAAAAAACCAAACAGCAAAAGACTATGGATTAAGAGATGAAAGTAAGTGCAAAAGTATCCAACAACAAAATAACCAAATCCTTAAAGGAACACATATAATTCGGTTTATCTATAATCATTTTTGTGGTATTCCAAAAGGCAAGTCACACATCAAACTAATACTTACCAATATATTCAGGTACTTGGGTTCACCATGGATATCTATGAAATTGTTAATAAAATCCTTGCATAGAGCTGGATAGAAAACAAAAGGAATTTAAAACAAGTAACAAAAAGGAAACCAAATAAATATCTCATCAGGCTGGGTAAAATGAGAGCCTTACCTTTGTCGGCCTCAAAGTCTGGCCCAGTCATTTTCTTTCAAATAATTAGGCAACAAAACACCATAGAAGTCTGTGATGTGTCCTAACAGCTGTATAGAACAAATACACATGTTATGGTAACAAATTTGATGGCTTCTTAAAATGGAATCATAATAGTGACTAAATACTGGCCTGATGTATGAGAAAAGCAAATAAAAATGAAATGTGTTGCGACCATTAATGAAATAACGTGCAATTTTGCTCTGGCTTTTCCTTATTCCTTTACAAAATTTAATGAAATATAAAGCATTTTTTACTTTGTATTTCCTCAGTAAACCCAAGCATCCAATATTCATAATTAGTCAGTGGTTTTTTAAATACATCAACTTCAAAACCAGACGGTATTTAAAGCAGAGATTGAAAAGTCAGTGAGAGTGCTGGCTCAAACCCAGGGGGCTCCTTGGTTCGGGGTACCGGATATATGCTCGTTTGTAGAACTGGGTGAGTTTACTGCACGAATCGTGTGTGATTTTTCATTTTTAATAATTTTTTCCTTTTATTTTCATCATTTATGCTGACGCAGCTGGAATTGGCAAACCAAATCCAATTGGTGAATGCCCCAGCAGGCACCCACTTCCTGTTCCCTAAATTCTGGCTTAAACAAATAAATGTATTGTGGATGAAAACTGGATTGAACAATCTATCAAAATTTTACATAGTAAGTAAATGATTTACAAGCGTAACGGACCTGATTCTGAGCAACAATAGAGCATAGGAATCAAACCATCAAAATTAAACAAAAAAAACCATGAACTAAACAAAGAAAATGGTTTTTCCATAGGAGCATAGTGAACACTCTAATGCCCACCGAACGTCATCATACAGGACTCATTTAAAACCAACTGAAATTAATCTTGCAAAATAGTAACGCGCAGGAAAATGTGATTCTAACCTTGTGAAATAAATACCTGAGATTCACCAGTGAATATGTAAATATGCTCGAGATTGGGAGCCGAAGATCATAGACGGACAAAATCTAAAGCTCCAGAGGCCGCACCCTGAAACCCTAGAAATCAATGAAACAGAATAACTCGAAATGAACGGAAACCACTGCAAAACCTAGGCTTTGGAGCGAATATTGAATGAGAACAAGAGATCAAAGCATACCTGCAAAATGCAAACCCTAGATTTGAAAATAATAAATAAATCCCACTTTTGAAGTGGAAGAAATTTATGATCTGATCTCTTCTCACAAAAATGGTTTATTAGGAGTGGTTGTTTTGGCGGGAGATGAGGGCCGGGGAAATTTGGCGGGAAGATGGTGAAGAGAAGGTGCGAACGGCGTGATGTTCGACGCGTGTCATTATTATACGGTCAATATTTTGTGAGATCTTATATTGATCGTCCATAGTAGAGACTACGGAGAGAACTAACAATTGAAGTAGTGCGTCCGTCTGCGGACGCACTTCTACAACAGCGCTCTAACGGCCATCCCGGAAATGATAAAATAATGGCTTCAAAAAATTTACAAGGAAAATCGCTTGATAGGGGTGCAGCCCTTTCAAAATAAGTAACGCCTCACACCTTAATTGAAAATCATAATTCGAGTATTTACATTGATCATCTCAACATGAACATTATGGTTGCAAAAAAAAAGAGAAATTATCACAAATATACCTCTTTTAAAATAACCTTCACAGTAGTTGTATTACCGCAATAACTTGAATTAATATTACAGTATTTTAAATACCGTAAAAACCTAAGCCATATTATAGAGCATCATATTATACGGCATTTTAACTACCGTAATATTAATTCAAGTTATTTTGACCAAAATTGAAGAAAAAAAGTGTGGACGAGGTTTATGAAAGTTGGGGTTTTTTTTTTTAAATATACGGAAATTAAGGTATATTTGTGGTAATTTTCAAAAAAAAAAGATTTTAAGCTCTAAAAATAATGTACATTGTAACAAAATATCTAGATCATTCATTTCACTTTAAAAATAAGTGTTTATAGAACGGTAAGATCTATACTATTTTTAGAGTTTCAAATCTGTCAGTGTTAGAAATTGGTTTTAGATTCATCATGAATTCCATTGCAAAAAGTGTTTTTCAAACAATGATTTGAGGTGATGCTTTATTTTGTTTAATTTGTCTTTTGTACATGAATGACACAATCATTCATACTCATAAGAAGTCAAATTTGATAGCTTAGGGTGAGTCATAAAGTCCAATCATTTTATTTTTTTTAACTTTATGTTTATTCAATAAACAATTGCAACCACCTATTTTGAAATTTAAGGGATAATAAATATTATAATCTCCATGTACAAAAGATAAATGGTCTATTTGTAGACAATCCCAAAATAGATTTAGAAGATATGACTCACTTGAGTACACAAGTTTAATAATAATAGGAGTATATATGTGGAGGTAGTTAATATTGATGGTCAAGCAAGATAAAAAATACTCCACGTTCAATATATTGGCTCGATAATCCATAAAATTTGAAATATTTAAGAAAATGTGGCACACAAAATTAGCACTAGGTGGATGTAGTGGAGATGTGCAACTAAAATTTTATGTGATCGTTGTATACTAACAAAACTAAATGGTAAGTTTTATAGGATAGTTGTGAGAACAGCTTTGCTCTATAGAGCAGAATGTTAAACGGACAATAAACAATATACTCTTGTTTTTTTCAAACCTCTTTTGAGCTCTTTAGTCCACTTTCGAGTAATTTATCAAGAGGGTGCCCCCCACTGCTTAGCTACACTTCCATCGACGCTCTTCTTACCTTACCCTCTCCGCTGGGAAATCCCTCTGCGGCAGACTATAGCTTGGTAAATAAGAAATTACCTTCCTCAGCAAGAAAGCCTAAGCGGCTTTCGCGCGCCGCGCGCTCTCTCTTTGCTACTTACCTTCCAGTCGAGCTAGTTCTTAGGGCTACATTCCTCCAAGGCACCATTCGTCGCACCGGTGTGTGACCGATGCTAAGGTAGCCGAGTTCAAGAAAGTCGTGAAAAGAATAGAGTGAGTATAATAGAGATGAGGATGTTTAAATTGATGAATGACAATACAGTAAGGGATAGAATTCAAAATGAATCAATTCGGAAAAAACTTAGGTGTGACACCAATAGGCGATAAAATGAAAGATATTAGATTTAGGAGGGTTGGCCATGTGTGGTGTGTACCCACTACAACACCTATTGGGAGGTGAGAATTATTTCAAATGGAATGATTAAAAAACGTAACGAGTAGGCTCAAAATGACGTTGTTGGAAGTAGTTTGAAAAGATATGAGGACTTATAGTATCATTAAGAGTGTAGCTTTTAACATAACATAATGGGCATGGCCTTTAATAGAACATAATGATGGACCAGAATTCGTGTAATCGACCATAATTAATTGAAAAAAAAGTTATGATGATAATGATAACGATTACTCATTTGAGTACACTGACTCGTAGAAACCTTGTCAAAACCCCATCTATTTAGAAGAGATTCATACTAATCAATTAGAAAACATAATGTGATAAGAGAGATAGAGAGAGAGAGAAATTACCAATTAAAAAACCTGACATCTCTGAAGGGAAAGGTTTTTATACTTCCACTGTTGCATGAAAGATATATACTTCCCCCTCTCATCTAGCTATCTAATTTAGATCAAGTGAGCCACTGACCATTTAATCTTTAGGTCTGACGCTTTTGAGTACTTTGTTTTTAGCTGTTTTTCTACACATTATATGAATATGAAATTTTGTACGTACCATCATATTAATGGGACGCACCTAGCAAAAATATAATGACCAAAATATATTTTAAAACTTTCAAAGGCATTTTGGTTTATTTTATTGGGAATGTTTTATTTATATTTTTTACATGTCGAGTTCAAGAGAGGAGTGGATGCCCAAAATTTGGTGTCAAGATAATTTATAAAAAAATTAAAAAAAAATAATACATGGATGTGACATTATGATTGGGGTCATCTCAACCACCCATTCAAAATGCGCAATTAATTAAAGGAAAGTCATTTAAGCCTTTCCCAATTAATTGAGGTCGGTTAGAGAAGGGAAAGTATATAAAATTTAGGTTGTTGGGGAAGCATTGAACGCTTGCCATCCCTAAATAGGGAGACCCGCAACTAGGACACAAGAGAGAGATATGGAGAGAAGAAGGGTTGGGTCTGTCGGTATAATCATTTTTTTTTATAGTTTTACACTTAATTTAAAAAATAGAAATTAATACTTTTGTCATACAAAAGTGAAAAGGGTGTATGATGGAGTGTATGAGAAAACAAAGTAAAATATGCCTTGCAAGTAGTGTTAAAATATGTTGTTTCAGTGCATAAGATCTTTATGATGACTAAAATATATATTTTCGTCTGTAATTATAAAATTAAAAGTTTTAAACCTAGTGTAGATCAAACAGATCTATAGACACTCGAAAATCTTGAAATTGGATGGTTCAGATAATGCATTACAAAATGTATTATTTATAGGACTTAATTTTTTTTGTTCACATGCATACATCTTGAGGTCGAAATGATTAATTATAGGGTTTTTCATCGTTAGAACAACTTTTTGGAGAGCCTTTTAGGTGCTTTATAAAGTTGACAATTTAAGGGAAAGTTATATAAATAGGCTATTTACCTTTGATACAAGGTGATAACAATTAACTATGACCATTAGATGTGCAATTGGGTGGCTGCATTTATTTCATTGACCAATCTCAAAGTTCAAAATAAAATTTATCGAACTTTGCAGCACACTCGAGCTATCATATTTCATATCGGATGGTTGTAAATAATTGTGACCTCCTTACACCAAAAGTAAATGGCCTCATTATATACAATCCCTTTCTATAAAAAGGGGAATACATGCAGTTGAAAGTCAACAAAGGGGCATGTTGTTTGTGTCCGTATATTTTTGGGGGCAAGGATCTCACTTGAAGATTTAATTGACCCTTGTTTGGATGTGGTAGTAGCAATATTTGAGTTTCAACCAGTTTTTGCAAAATCAAATCGGAATGGTTAATCGGATATAGGCCGGAAGCAGTTTAACCAGCCTAACTAGTAAACTGGCTGATTCAACCGTTCTAACCAGACAAGTCTTGGACAGTCAAAAAATTGTTGAAAAAAATAAAAAAGATACAAAAAAATACTAAACTATGAAAACTATACAAAGAATGATTAAAACAAAACGCATTCAAATGAAGTTGAAAATCAATGAAAAAAAAAAAATGGGTTTGAAAAAATCAATTTGTACCTAGTGAGATTTTTAATTTTATTCGAAAAACATGAGAAAATATAAAAGTAGTATTAATGACCAAAACATTTTTTAAACTTTGCCATAATATAAAGAATATTAAAAAATGTATTACAAACCAATTTTCTTATTTTTTAGGATTTTATATACATTTTTAAATTTATTTTTAAATATGGACCAATCGCCAAAACTGCCCACAACTAAAACTGGCAAGAGGCCGGTTCCGATCCATCTGGGTGGTTATCGGCTAGATCGCCCGGTTTTTCTAACATTGGTCTCAACTTTGCCGAATGTTATTACTTGAGGAGCACCATTTGGAAAACGCCTGTAGAGAGTAAATTCAGATCGGGAATCAATGAAAACTGACCCAATTCCGAGTCGAATTTGGAAATCATGCCAATCTTTTCAATTTTTGTATTGATTGATTCTCACATAGGAAAATCGCTCAGATCACTGATTTAGGTAACTGACTCGCCGATCCTTACCGATTTCCTAGATGGCATGTTCCACTAGATAATTTTGGTTTTAAAACATTGTTCCAGGTTAAGCATGAAAAAAGGCATCCAAAAAGGATCATAACTAACCCCAATGAGTCCCCAAAAATAGTCATATAACCAATTACACTTTCTTTGGATGTTGTGGCAGCCCTACCTAAACCAAGATGATTCTCTTTCCTTGATTTATAGGCTTCTTAAATTTATAATTCTTGGGTAATTTTATAATTCTTAAATTTATAATTTATAATTCTTCTTAAATTTATAATTCTTAAATTTATAATTCTTGTGATTTAATGCATTAATAGGCCAAGGAAAATCTACAAAACTCTCATGCTCGGACTATACTACAATCCAAGAACTGCTTGACGATATATACATATATTCATTGAATTCCATTGAATTTTGTAATATAGATATGAACTTCCTATATAAAGGGATTCTTCTTGCTGATTTTTATGGTCAATTTGTTGTGCATTCATTTCGGTTATTACATATAATCTAGAAAGAAAAAATTTGGAGGGGGTGTCAACCTTATACTATAGAAAGCACATCC